TAGGAAGTGTAAGTGCAGGGTGTGTGCCTTAGAAAATGGGCAGACACCTTGAGTGCCAAGCTTAGGGCAATGGGGAGCCACAGAGGAGTTTAGAGCAGGGGAAAGAGTTGGTCAGCACAGCAGGGGAAATGGGAATGGTAAATCTGGCTCAGCTGGGTACTAGGAGCAGGGAGGCCAGAGAAGGGGTGGGATCTGGGACAGACCCCTGAGTCATTCCCCACCACCACCACCTATAGGCCCCAAAAGCCAAGAGGAAGGCAGAGATCTGGGAGCGCAGCGTGGGCACCCTTGGTAGCAGGCCCCAGCTGTCGGGCCTGGTCGTGGTGAAGAAAACAGACCTGGACTGCAGCATCGAGCGCGGTGGGGCCCCACCTGCCCCAGGTAGGTTCCTGCTGACCCGGAAGCTGCATGCAGTACCATGGGTGGCCACCAGGTGGCAGCAGCGCCCCTGCTGTTCAGAGCCTCCATGGGGGGTGAGCTGGGGAGTGTGTGTACCCCACCTAGGGTAAGGGGAGAAGGGTGGAGTTTCCTTTTTTCTTTTAATTACAAAAAGAGCAAGTGCTCATTTTTAAAACTCAAGTCGGATAAGGATGTATAGGGTAAATCACCAGATCCCGCCGCCTCCAGTACCCCTGTCTGCCATTGTCCACAGACACCAGCCCCAGGCCGGTTCCTGGGTGTCTGCATCCTGGTGGTTGTGTCGCTTACATTCTGTGTATGTGGCCCCCGAACCTTGGGAGGTGGAGAATTAGGGTGGGGTCGGCCTGGCGAGGTGGAAAGAGCAGGATTCTGGGGCACCACGTGCTGGTCTGTGGCCTCGGTTGAGGAGCCTGTCCCCCATAAGACGCGGATGACAACAGGACCACCCCCCAGGGCCTCGTAGAGTTTGGAGCTGATCCCTGAGCTGCTCCACGTCAGGTGCCTGCAGTATATCCTGGTGCCCACCGGGCCTTCTGGATACGTGGGCCATTGTTACCAGAACAGTTACTACCCCGCTTATCAGATGAGGAGACTGAGGCCCAGAGAGGTGAAGCCACTTGCCCAGAGCCACACAGCCGGGTGGGTGGCGGAGCCGATGTCTGCCCCTCTTCATCACAGTGGTACATGGGTTCACTTGGGACTTGGAGCATTTCCATTTTCTGTGCCTCCTGCACAGGCACCTGTGCCCACCCAGGTCAGCTTTCAGAAGTGGAGCTGCTGGGCTAAGGGGTGTGTGGATTTGCACTGTGATGGGTCTGCCAGGTGGTTTCCAGAAAGGCTGCAAACAAGCAGGAATGGCCGACCCCACTCTCCTGACCTCACCTGGGCTCAGCCCTGTTGGAACTGTCTGGAGAGGGGCTGCAGGGAGACGCTGGTCAGCTAGCTCTTGCCTCTCCCCCAGGCGCCACAGAGAATGGGCAGGCGGCTGACCCTGCGACCCGGATGCCCGGCACCTCCTCCCTGAGCCAGCTGGGTGTGTATTCGGACAGTGAGGACAGCAACAGCAGCAACTGAGCCCCGCCCCCGGCCCTTCCTGGGGTCAAGGTCACACATCCAGCTCCAGACGGTGGTCAGTGGTCGGGCAGGAGGCCTTGGGACCAACTGGAGTTACGACCAGACAAACATGAATGTCTTCCGTGGCCGGTGGGGCCATCGAGAGCTTCTGCCAAAGGACTCAGTGTCTCTCCCGTCCGCCCTCCCGCTCTCTGGAGCTCGGGGTCCCCAGCTCACACCACAGCATCCCTGGAACAGCTTCCAGGAGGCCTTGGAGTCGTCTCTCGGACAGTCCTTGAGTTGTCAGAGGTGTTTTGTGCACGTGGATGAGCCCTCCCACCCCAACTGGCTCCATCCCTTCCCACCACAGAACCATCTGGAACCAGTGAAAGGAACCTGCTGATCTGGCCTGGGCACCTTGTCTGTGCCAGCATCTGAGGAGGGGGCTGCAGACCCACGCGACCCAGCCAGGCCCTGACTCCTGACTCTCAGAAAAGACGAGATAATAAATGCTGTCTAGCACGTGCAGTTTGGGGATAATCTGTTAAGCAATAGGAAACTGATATGGTCACGTGGCCAGTAAGTCTGGTTCCACACCTCGTGCTCCTTCAGGGTTGCCTCTCCTACTGCAGTATTTTCTAGCTGAAGGTCCTGTGCCCCCACCAGTCTCCTCCATATCCTGATCAACCCCCGTCTCTTCTCTCCCAGGGTTACTGCCGTCAGCCCTCCTCCAACACACACTCACAAACACGCAGACTTGAGTCTGGCATCCGATAATAAGGTTTTGTGCTTTTCACGGTCAGAGTTTGGGAATGAAACACCCCGACTCTGGGGATCTGCTTCCTACCGTGATTTCCCTGCTTAGGGACAGGATGAAGAAGTGAACCGGAATCCAACCAGGGCTTCTTGTGAGGGGCAGGGGGTCTCACATCACAGCTCCACGGCTGCGAGGATGGAACCTGGGGGGCCTGATTCTGAAACCCTGAAGCTGGCCCCCACTGGCAGCTGGTGAGAACTGAAGCCTCCTGCATCTCTCTTCCAAGTTCTGTGCTCAGCAGCTTACAGCTGGCCACGGCAGGAGTGTTTACACCATGGAAATCGGGAAATGCTGCAAATCGGTCCTCCACGCCAGAGCCAGTTGTGAAGCATGGACCAGCACCCATTTCCTCCCAACTCAGCATCCTACAGGCAGGGCCTGGGATGTGGGCCACTCAGAGACTCTGGGTTAAAATGAATCACCCGGGGGAGAGTCTAGCTCAGTAGTAGAATGCATGCTTAGCATGCACGACGTCCTGGGTTCGATCCCCAGTACCTCCATTAAAAGTAAATAAATTAATTAACTCTCCCCTCAAAAAAAATACTTGAAAAATAAATCATCCAGCTTAAGTAGTTGTGAACAGAGACTTAGGGGAGGGACCTCTCTGGTTCATTCCGATTCATTCTGTCAGACTGTTTCCGGAACTTCCAATGCTCCTGATCCACACAATTTTTGCCTTGTACGCTGCCAGTTGTAAGTTGCTGAGCACCATCTGTTACTATTATCAAGTCTTAACCTAACTCCATTCTAAAACGTGGGTCCCTATACTATGGTCCACAGGCCAAACCTGGCCCCTCGCCTGTTTTTGTAAATGAAGTTTTATTGGCACACTGACACACCCATTTGTCTGCATATTATCCATGGCTGCCTTCACTCTCCGGCGGCAGAAGTGGGTGGTTAAGACAGTGATTCTAGGACCTGCAAAGCCAAAATATTTACTCTCAGGACCTTTATAGAGAAGGTTCTGTGGCCCCAGTCTGGGTCACACAGCTCTGCTCCCCACAGCCTCCAGGGAAAGGTGGCCAAGACAACTCCTACCCTGACTTCTAGGCTCACACTGTTCCTACATCCCTGCTGGCTGATGTCACCCCGAGGACAGGTGACACAGTGGATGGAGTACGTGGGGTCCATTTAGGGAATAATAACAGCTAATGTCAGTGAAGCACGGACCGTCTGCCAAACCTCTGCTAAGCTCTTCACGTGCACTCATTTGTTTAAGCTTCCCAAAGCAAGTGATTAATCCGTTTGCTCATTCCAAACAATTATTGAGCACCAACTATGTGCCCGGCTCTGTTTTAGGCACTGAGGCTACAGCAGTGAAGAAAAACAGCCTCATAGACCACTCTCAAATGTGACATACTTGTTGGAAGATGAAAGATAAAAGACTGAACATCTAAATATCATATTAAGATATAAAAAAAACACGAGAGGTGGTGATAATGTTTGGGAAACTAAAGCAGGGTAGGATGGTCCTGAGGGGGTGCCTGACAAGGTGAGTTTATTGCCTGTGGCCCCTGTGTTAGAGATCTAATGCTGCATAACCAGTGATCCCCAAATTCAGCAGCTTAAAACCACAGGAATCTGGGTGTGGTTTCGCTGAGTTGTCTGCTTCAGGGTCTCACAGCAGCAACTGCGGTGTTGGCTGGGGCTGGGGTCTCATCTGAAGGCCCAACTGGGGCAGTATTCATTTCCAAACGCATTCACGTGTTTGTTGGCGGAATGCATTTCCTCACGGACTCTGGGCCAGAGACTGCGCTTAGTTCCATGCCTGCGCAGATGTTTGCACCAGCTGGCTTCATAAGGAGGGTCTGGTAGAAGCGGCACCCCATCACTGTGGCTGCTCCACTGGTTAGAAGTGAGCCACAGGTCCCTCCCACATTCCAGGGGCTCACAGGTGGGTGCAACCACCAGGAGACTGCAGTCATTCAGGACCACCTGAGGGTCTGCCTGCAGACCACCCCCTGGACAGTGAGCTTTGCAAGGGTCAATGTGTTGATGAATGAGTCCCTAGCATCTGAGATCATCTGAGCACTTAGTAGGTGCTCAGTGCATGTCTGTGGCCTGAGTGGGTGGCCCCCACTCACAGATGAGGAACTTGAAGCCCAGGGAGCCCCACGTCCCCGCCCACTCTCTGCCCACCCCCCACCCCCGCCTCCTCTGCACTCCACTGGAACTGTTTCTTTCATTCTTATTTTCCTTGCAGGCTTTGTTCTCCCACTCAGAACAGTGTGGCTCTTGGCCCTCAGTTTCCTTGTGGGGGTTCCCAAGGCTGAGCAGGCAGAGGCACAGCACAGCCACACATGGGGGTCTGTCATGTGTGCTGACCCCCCAGGGCCCCAGCCCACTCCCTGCCCTGAGCCTGCCTCCCCGGGACACCCCCCTTTTCACTCTCTGGGGCCTGCCCTTCCCCCTCACGGCTGACGGTCCCCATTCCCCCCGCAAGCTCGTGTCTGTCATCTGGTCCTTGGGAGCTGTCAGGCCTCATCCAGAATCTCCTCCGTCAATTCCCCTGGGGCTGCCTGGCTGCTCAAGCACATCAGAGGGACTTGGTGGGGGGTGGCCTCCCCTCCTGCTGGAGCACACTCCTGCCAGGTCCTGGGCTTCACAAAGGAGATGAGGGGCCGAGGGGCCGCTTCTGCTTCCCCAAGCTCCCTCCACCCCAGAGCTCACCACCCATGCCCTCGGGCACACACTCCCTTACACGCAGAGTGGGTGACAGGCAGGACCTGGGTTTGAAACTGCAGGGCTCCGAGGCTGCAGCTTTGACCACCACGCTCCGTAGACTGGGAGCGTCTGGGGGCGGACCCGTGCCTTCCCCGTCAGCCTGGGGCCCTGGAAGGCAGAGCCACTTAGACTGGGAGCTCCTGAAAGCAGGCACGTGTTTCCTCTGTCAGGTGGGTACTTCAGAGGGCAGGGTCACGCCTCCTCCATCAGACTAGGGGCTTCTGAGGGCAAGGCCATGTCTCATCAGGCTGTGAGCTCAGAAAGGCAGGGCTGTGTTCAGGAGCTTCTGAGGATAGAAATTCTCTCTCCTATCAGACTAGGAGCTCCTGAGGCCACACCTCCTCCATCAGTTCTGGAGTGCTTAGGCCCCATCATGGGCCATGCCCCTCTGGTCCCCTCCTGTCCGGTGCCTTGGTTCCCACCCCCCTGCAGACATGCGGATCCATGAGGCAAGAGAGAGCAGGCACAACCCCAGCCAGGGACCTCCTCTCGCTTCTTCCTGAGGTCCCATCCACCCTAGGCATATATTGAGCACCTACTGTATGCCATACAAGAAAGTACTGTTCAGCCATAAAAAGGAATGAAACACTGACACTCACTACAATTTAGATGAACTTTAAAAACATGGTGCTCAGTGAGAGAAGCCAGACACAGACGGTAGCATAGTGTGGGATTCCATTTATGTGAAATGTCCAGAACAGGCAAACCCACAGAGAGTGGATTCGTGGTGGCCAGGGGCTGGAGATTTGGGAAGAATGGGGAGTGACTACTAACTGGGTGTGGGGTTTCTCTGGGGGATGATGAAATTGTTCTAGAATTAGTGATGATTACACAATCTTGTGAATGTACTAAAACCCATTGAAATCTACTCTTTAAGTGGGTAGATTGTGGTATATGTGAATTACATCTCCAAAAAAAATGTTTCAAGGTGCCCAAAACAGTGCCAGGCAGTAGCATTCAACAGAAGTTAGCTGTTACTCTCGTTGTACAGACAGGAAGGTAGTCCAGATCACTTACCCAAGGTCAGGTGGGCTGGGACTCCAGAAACTGAGCCCCACCCAAGAGGAGGCCACGCGTGCTGGGGGAAGGGAGGTCCCCTCAGCCCAGGACCCCCAGACTATCTGCCTCTTTGTCTTTGTCCATGCAAGAGTCCCCTCCTGGCATGGCTCCTTCACTCCCTCCTCCCCCAATCAGAAAGCCAAAACCCGAGGGAAGGGTCTAGCTTAGTGGTAGTGCAAATGCTTAGCATGCAAGAGGTCCGGGTTCAATTCCCAGTACCCGCATTAAAAAAAATTCCCTGCCCTCCCCACCAAAAAAAAGAGAAGAAAATCACACCCAAGGTTATGTGGCTGTTCAAGGTCACACCACCTA